GCTGCTGCCAAGATGGATGGTGGGTATGGCCGATCACGAGGAGGACTGTCCATTGGAGACCTTGAAGGTGGGCGCCGAGGCGCGGCAGGCTCTCGCAAGCGCGGCGCACCTGGGTCGGGCAAACCTAGAAGACGGAGAGATGAGGAATCAGACGAGGAACTTGAGCATGCTGTTGGTCGGCACGAAGGCTACTCGCTCGACGATGGCTTCATCGTCAATAGTGACGATGAGGAAGTGGAAAGCGGAGGCGACGATGACGACGAAGATGATTTCCCCGATGACGACGAAGAGGAGAAGCCTCGCTCCAAACGTCAGAGGACAAGAGATCGCAGCGAGGACGAGGATGATCTCAGCGAAGTCGAACAAGTGGCAGGAAGATCCCGCAGGAGAAATGTCATCGACGATGACGACGACTAAAATGGACTAAAATGGACATCTTTGGAGTTTCAGAGACAATGAGATGGGTATCTGCATGGTGAGCAAAGGAGGCCATTGCTGCATAATATGATTATATCAAACTGTCTCCAAGACAGAGTATCGCAGAAACTGGTTATTTTTGTATTATATCTTAGACTTTTGGAGGCAATAACAGCAAAGCCACATCTTTACTGAATTCCTTGTGTGAACGGAATTCTTGACCAATATAACAAGTCGCGATCTACCAAATAAACAAACCACTTTGTCACAAAAAAGAATTGTTCGCGCGACTCTGATGATGAATAGGCACTAGTTAGCCATACAAGTATGTGCATGTGAGTGTGGCTCAATCTCCGAGATTCCATGTCTCGAAACTGGTGATCTCATTGGCAATCACATGCCGATTTAGCGTCAACCATTGCCTTACCTTGCTGGAATACTCTGTTGACCAGCTGCGGGGAGCTCTACGAAACTCAACACCAACCTACCTACCTTATCTTGCATGTCCTATAAAATAATATCTCGATTTTCTGATCCACGAACCCAAACATCCTAAGAAGCCCCCCTCCCAGTCCCTAGCGTTTATGACATATTCCCAAGGTACACTGGGTGCGTGCCGTCTGGTCGCTAAACGCTCGCAAAACACGACACTTCGCAAATGGTGCTTGTGCTTGTGATCGGCCCTCGGTAACGCGCAATGGGGGTGGTAATCACCGTATGGGGTGTCGTCGTGGATGTGGCCAGCTTCTGGCAGAGGGTAAACTCTCTGTTCCTCCTATCCGTGATACGCGACGGTTGTCGTTCCTAACTATGTCGTTGCAGAAGCTGCGGAGCTGGTACACGCGCAAAAGCCCCGTTGAGCTATGGCTGGATCTATTGAGAACCGCCGAGGCCTTTGAGGACTGGGAGGAGGCCGCGCTACACCTGGATAACCTCCTGGGCCTTGATCTGTGGCAAGTCTGCTCACAAAATGTCATGTCTGTCTACTTTAGATGCGGTACGCTAACAAGTTTACAGGAGGAACAATCCAGCTTCTAAGTATTACGACTGGAGACTCATTGCAGAACGCCTAGACTCTCTCGCGACCGCGCGGGAAGACGGAAACTTTCAGCAGCTCGTCAACCTGTTGAGATCCGGCCTTGTTCGAAACCTCGGGAACATCACCTCACCCAAACTCTACAATCGATCATTTGCCGGAACCAAGTATCTTATAGAAGAGTACATCACCCAGATTGCCGAGGCAGTGGAGGATATTCGCGCCCTGCCTACAACTCCGTCGGCTACACATGGCACGGGGCCATCCTTGACGACGCAGATGAAATTAGACTGTATCCACGATACAAGACAGGCTTTTGGGAGGAGTACACTCGTCCTTCAAGGCGGTGCGATATTTGGTATGTGCCATTTGGGCGTTGTCAAGGCTCTCTTTCTGCGTGGTTTACTCCCGCGCATCATTACGGGAACGGCTACAGGCGCCCTGATCGCGGCTCTGGTCGCTATTCATACTGAAGATGAGCTACCGGCTGTTTTGAGTGGCGATGGTATTGACCTCTCAGCATTTGCTTCCAAGCATGGTCATGAGAACGGGGAAGCCTCAACGGCTCAGGCCTTCAGGTCACGGTGGGAAACTCTGTTGCGGAGGATCAGGCGTTTCTCCAAAGAAGGGTACTTTCTTGACGTGACTGTTTTGGAGGAGTGTGTGAGGGCCAATGTTGGTGATTTGACCTTCGAGGAGGCCTATAACCGGAGCAAGAGGGTGCTGAACATAACTGTTGCGACGGAGGGCCAGGGCGGTGTACCGACGCTCCTCAACTATCTGACCGCGCCTAATGTGGTATGTTCTTGAAACATTGACTTTTCGTGAAGCCTGCTGACTCGTCGTCTTAGTTGATCTGGACCGCTGCTGTAGCGTCGAATGCCTCATCGCCCTCTCTCTATGGCCACAGCAAGACGACTATGCTCTGCAAGGACGCCCACGGCAACATTGTACCGTGGGCGCCAGCTAACACAATTGACTTTCGACATTGGACTCACACATCCTACTCCGATCGAGACTCGCCTTTGCGACGTATTGCTGAGTTATTCAACGTCAATCATTTCATTGTCAGCCAAGCTCGACCGTATCTCATTCCCTTTATTCAGTCTGATATGCATGGTCCATCCTTAGTAGAGTCGCGGAGCAAGACAACACAGATATCTGCCTTTCTCGTACGCATGGTCGGGCTGGAGATAAGGCACCGCCTAAGTCAGTTGGACACACTAAATCTCCTGCCAACCGGTATCCGCCGCTTCCTGGTCGATGAACAAGTCCCGGCTGCCTCTATGGTTCTCGTGCCTGAAGTGACAGCAGGGGACTTTGTGCGATTACTAGAAACCCCGACACGAGAGACCCTCAACTACTGGGTTCTCAGAGGCGAGAGGAGCGTGTGGCCTGCTGTAGCCGCCCTAAGAATCAGGTGTGCTGTCGAGAATGAGCTCGACAGGTCATATCAGGTGGTCAGGAAGTTTAAAGCCCCCGGCTTACGACGAAAGGGGAGCATGGCCGCTACGCTGGAGGGTTAGAGAAGAGAACGTAATGTATAGTTTGGCTCAGCCGTTACGGATATTAGCGCGACTTGAACACTTCATCCAAAGTTGTTGGGACAATGGTAACGTAAAATGTGAAAATGCTAGCCCTTCTTATTGATACCGCTCAGAAACGGCAGAGGGATCCTTAAATTGGCACGGAAGCATATCTACCTACTCAGGAATCGTTGCCTGCGTTTTTACTCACGGGAGGAGCTTGCTGTGTCTAGGAACTGTCTTGTTTTTACCTATGATAACAATTTCCATCTTTCTTCTTGTTCTATCCCGCATTCGTTTTCCAGAATTGATCACCATTGCTCCATATTCGACAGGTCTCAAGGCAAGCATCAACAGGAAGCAGTCACAAGAAGTATGCCTCACGATCACACAAGTCATACAAGTTGGCCTTCAACGATCACAGCGAATTAATATACTCCATACAAAAACTCGCAGTTAGCAGGATGCAACCTAATTTCGTGACTGTACAGCATTCCTCTTGAACACTCGTCAGTACGTAGAATAGAGCCCAGGTCTACGTTCAGGCAGTCTCTCTTTATAGAGCCAACGAAGTAGAGCCAACGAAGTACAATAAAAAGACGATTTTCTGAGTACGAATATGAATAGGAGGGGGGAATGGCAACTCAGATAGTAATACCTCGAAGTTGGCAAAACATTTCAATCAGTAGTACAGTGGCTTAGACTCTCAAACTTACGTATATTGGAGGTCTTTCAATATTTCAATATCCAGACTATCGCGCATGGCGGGATAATGAGTTTCAGACTTATGCTATACAGTTAAGAGATACTGGTGCTTTTAGGCTGTGGGCTTAATGCCACCAGCCAAGAGCCACCTGCGTCCGAATAGTCGAAACAGGGCGAAATCGCAGGAATATTGTGTGTGTGTGTGTGTGTGTGTGAGAGAGAGAGAGAGAGAGAGAGAGAGATTTGCAGTTAGAAGTGAGCTTTCGAGAACCTCCAAGGACATTCTATATTAGCCAATCATCTTACATGGTAGGTAGTCATACCAGGGAAACTAGTATCACACCCAGACTTTGATGTGACCAATGCACAAGTTATTAGTTAAGCAAGAGAGACTTGGACAACTCGAAAAACAGCTGTATTTTGATTATTAGCATAATCGGAGTAGAAACCTATGCTAGTGCCAGCCACACTGGGCTCTAGACATATCTATCTCTGCATGGTCATAGAGTCAGATATAATAAAAGGAGCAAATTCCTCTTTCCCCAAAATAGGCCTCCTAGACCTCCTCTCTCTAGCAGGGCGTCAAAAGAGAATGAGGCGGGCGCCTTTGATAGGTAAGCAGTAGTTCATGTCTAATGCAAAAGGGGTTAGAGGAGGCTCTGCCATGCAGCAATGACACCACTTTCAAGAGGTGACGATACCAAAGATACATCGATTTTAGTATGTGGCACTATGCAATAATACTTGTTCTCCACGTACCGTATTCTTGAGGCTGTTCTGATCGAGACCGCGTCAGAAGGGCAACAAGCAAGGGGCATTGCCAACGCATCATTCATGGCGTTCGGTACGATTGACGAATGGAAAAGGCTGGATCATAGGCTTATGCAGTCAATGGTTTATGGTGTTGGGCTAAGGGGTTCATGAGTTCAAAAGCTCTGGCCTCACCCACCTCCTCGGGTCAGTATTTTGTTTCCAGAACATTTCACAGCGAGACAACCAACTCATCGAAATACATACAGTCAAAACTTGTGCTGCCCGGCGCTTCGCCTCGGGCGAATACGCGCTGACATTCGTAGCTAAGCAAGCATTACTGAGTATCACGACGTCTATCTTGTCGCTTGATTTGGAACAACATTACACCGCGTCTGACGTATACCTGAGAGAGGTCCCTCAACTGGTTTCTTGGGCTCATCAACATGGTCAGCATGACTATTTCTGATATGTATGAAAGCAACTCGGATTCTTCCGTGTCCCTCTCGTCGTCCATACTTGTTGAAAAACGCAGTTCTTCCATCTTCGACTGTTACGGCCAAGTCATGGGCGTGGATGGCTATCAACATTCTTCTCCCCCCGCCATAGATATGTCTACATCCATGGTTCTCGAGCGCACCGCGGCAATCAGAACATCTCCTTCTGAAGCCGACGACTTCTCGATGAGCGGCTGGACCACTGTTGGCACATCCTCCGCCGCCTCCGAAACCACATGCCCCGCTCCGGCGTTCGTGTCCGTGTCCGCCTCCGTGGCCGATCTTACGGCATCCGAGCTGCTCCGCCTGGAAGTCCAGGATGCCCGGCCTTCAGGCTCGCTTGCCAGTCCCGGCTCGCACGTGGTGCGCGACCGTGCCTGTGAAATGTCCGTCGGTAGCGATAGCTTATTCAGCTACAGCTACACCTTTGTCCAAGATGATCAAGGACTCTGCGGAATCGGAGCGTGGGCTGATATTACGACAAGTTCTTTCGTCGCCAAGAAGAGGCGAATTACTCCACGACCATGATAATTTCAGCGAAAAAAAAAAACATTTTTGAGTTTGAAAAACCAAGGAATGTCTTGGGGCATGGATTCCTTGTCTGTTTCCGGCCGGCAGTTTGTCTATCGTCTTTTGGGGCTGCCACGCGCCGAACGGTTCCGCGTTTCATGTACAGTATCTACAGTATCTTTTGATTTTGCTTTTCATCTGAACTCATGCACGATGATGGCATCTGTTGTCTATGCTCTTACGAAATTCTCCACTCGTGCTTTTGTTGCGTCAGTTGTTACTTTGTTCTGCAAAAACCCTCAGCAGTAACTAGCTACCCAGTATGTTTCAAGATGGGATCGATGAAAGAAGAGACAGGACCGCCACAGCCACAAACAACAGGAATGCTCGCTGACGCAAGGGGCATGCAATCAGATCATCCAAGTCAGACTAGCTAGATCGGTTACATCGAAAAGAATCCATTACATTTGACTGGAAACTTGGTCATGATCTCCACGGTTAAACTGTGAAATGTAACACAAGCCCTCCACAACTTGCAAGGACACGATCGTCATTTGAGCAATTCGAGCCATGTGATGTTTGCTGCATTAGGCGTACTCCGCGCTCTGTCTCGCGCAGCATTCCAGTTCTTGGATGGCCCTGTACATGCCATTTAATGACCGGTGTGCGACGAATTTCGGGCAAATACTGGGAACTGCTGTGCATTGTGAAAAAAGAAAATTATCCACTATGGGGAACCATTTTGTACCAAGATAACGAAGCATATCTCGGCATCCAACGGAAGGTCAGATTGGAACCATGAAAGTGCGGCAATTCTTTGACGCTGTCCAGGCTGTAATCGAAGACGGACGCATCAAAGAGAGGCGGAGATTGTAGAATGTCCACTGATATCATGCGCCGTTATAGCAGGGTGCCCCTGGCAATGTTGCATACCCGTCGGTCTAGGGATTGATTTGGCATTCGTCCCGTTGAATTGTTACTTTGAAACAGCAATTGGGCCGCAGGGAGGGATGGCAGATCAGGCCGGGAACCTGCATGTAAGTAAGGATGTTGGAGGTGTGGAGAGAGTAACTAACACAAGACAAAAGGGAAATTCGGACGACGGAACTCGGGTTCAGGGCAAAGACATACCGTAAACATTGTTTATTCTCCACATAGGACAATAGGTTCGCCAGGGCACAGAAGCTTTGAGCATACTGTGAGGAACAGAGGCTTCTTGGATGGTGACAGATTAATTGGAAACATATCGAATGAAGCACTGTTTTCGCTTCTAATCCCACAACCAATGACATGAGAGGTTTTATGACCTACAGACATTTTTACAATAGACCACACATCACAGCAAGATCAAACAATTGTTTAAAAGCAGACCAACATCGAGTCTAATTGATTTCTAAATACCAGGCTTTCTTCCTCCCAGACAAGCCAAAGCAGGGTTCATCGGTGGATATAGCCGGCCGCGCGACGCCTCATGGGGTAACCGGAAAAGAATAAAACAAAGGCCATCATTAAAGTAGAATTATACACCCGAAACTGGAGTCTCATCAAACCGCTCTTTCTTCATCCCATTTATGCGCATGAAACATTATGTCCATAACTTAGTTGAGGTAAACCATGGCCATAACGGCACCGGCAATAAGAGCCAGCGAGGATGTCATGCGAGCAGCACCGCTCTCAGGGACACTGGGGACGCTGGTCTCGCCGCCGGCACTGCCAGTCTTGGAGGGAGTGGGGTGAGCAGCAGTGGGAGTGGTGGCGTTCTTGGAAGGAGCATGAGTGGGAATGATGGGCTTAGCAACAGTGGTGGTCTCCTCAGCGGACTTGGTAACGCTGGCGAGGGTGGTGGCCTCCTTGGTGGAAACGGCAGCAGTGGTCTCAGCGGTAGCGGTAGCAGACTTGGTGACAGAGGGAGCAGCGTATGATCCCTTGTAGGGGAACTGGGCGCTGTAGTTGACCTCACCAGCCTTGTCGGTGATCTTGAAGTTGTAGGTGTCGGAAGGAAGCTCAGAGGGGGTGAAAGTGAAAGAGTCACCAGTGGCAGAGGCTATCGTGGGTCAGTAAGCTATTGGATACTCAATATTATTGAGACATACTGGTCAGGGTCTTGTAGTCAGAGAGATCATCAGAGGGGCCGTTCTGGAGGATGATGGTGCAGCCATCGTCACAGCCAGAGTAGCGGATGGTGTAAGGCTTGCCCTCAGTGAGATCGAACTCGGTGTTGAGGAAAGCAGGCTTAGCCAGGGCCACGGAGGCGAGGGCAGCAATGGTAGCGAGAGTGTACTTCATTTTGAAGGTTGGTGGGGTTTGGTTTGAGGTTGAAAGAATGACTGAGTATTACTACCAAACGGGTTAGTTCTTGATTCTGAAACTGATTCGATAAATCGTAAATAGTAGCGACTATGAGCATTGGCGTGTGTGATTATGATGATGATGATGATGTTGCTGCTGCACCACGCTGAACGAAGAGAGTTGTGTAAACAAGCCACAGGCAGTGCGTGGGCTGCCAGGCTGATTCGTTGCCACCAGCAGTTGACAGTGGCAGCTGGTGGCCAGCTTGTTTGACTTCCATCCATTACTGTCACCGTTGCCCAACTGAATAGCATTGCACTTGAATGCATCCTTCTTCCTAGATATCCCAGGCACGAAGTTCGATGTATGTGGGTGTTGTCCATATAGGGAAAGGCTGAAGAAGGTATCAACTTACATTAGGTAGTGGGAAAGAGGCACAACGAAGTAGCGAATTGACTGAGGCGTTGATAGAGAAGAAGGAAAGAGGGAGATTCAAGAGAAGGAGGGAGGCTTATTATAATGAAGGGAACGCAGAGCTAGTGACAATATTGAGAGCAATAAAGGGGATACATTCAGACGCTACCGATGGCAATCCAATCCAACCTAATCCCACGAGGCCACGGCACCAACTTACTCTATCCCATCCCACCGAACTAAGGGCCGGGGTGTATGTACAGAGCAGAGGGGGTGGAGGGGTGGGTGACTGGTAGAGTTAGGTGTAGCGCAGGTAGCGGTTGCTGGACCTGCCCGCCTTCCGCAGGTTCAACTGAATTCAATTGTGAGCTTTGTCCTTTCCTCCTCAAGCTCCTTCCTCCTTTCGCTTTCCATTTCCCTTTCCCCTTCCTCTTCCAGGTTCTTTCCACTTTCACCTATGGAAAGGACCCCGTCCCCCACTTCCCTGTCAATACCTAGCTTGCCTTGGTCTGATAATCCATTTTCCTCTCTCTCAACCCATGCCATTCTTTCTTGGCCTATCTCGCTACATCATCGCATTCCATCCACTGGCAGGCCAGCCACGGCCTTCCAATTCCCGAATCAGAACGGACCCTATCAGATCCCTGCCACGCAAATTAGCCATGTCCTAGCGTCCTCTGCGCATTCCAACGCTATGCCCTTTGTGGCTTATACTCCAAGCTTTCTGTGGATTCACCCTCCAGGCTACGGGGATATGCCAGCCCCACCTGCAAGACCAACGGACAACCTCTAGGATTGCTGTGCCTGGCAGTCAGAGCGGGCACGCGCCCACCAAGCCAAGCAAGCATCATTAGCGACATGAGACCTCGATCCATCACAATTTGACTTCCAGGCTCTATTTGCACCGAGCCTTGGCCCCCTAGCGACCTCAACTCATTCATGTCGCTGGTCTTCAGCGGTCACCTTGTACGGAATAGTGGGATTGATATTCTAATCCAGTCATGAGGCGAGCTCTGATGTATGCGAATCCTTTTCCCTCTGGCCAAGTAAGTCCCCAGTTCGACTCGCTCTAGACCTTATGAAGGGTTTCCTGTCAGCCTTGCCTTAGTCTGGCAGTGGTCACAGCAGCACACTTTTAACCGCGCCTCTCCGGCGTATACCGGAGCTGCTGCACTACAGACCAACTCTCGGGGGGCGAGGCCAGCTACCCTATCCTTCTAGCAGCGATAGCCGCCTTGATTTAGGTTACCACTGTCAAACATGTATGTTGTCGTAAGCTCGCCGGTGGGATGTGATGCGACTCGGCCAAGGCAGCCGTGTCTTTGTTTAGTTATGTATTGATTTCATGAGGTGCGCCGTGTCTGATTCAACATATCAACAATCAACGACACAGTCCTTGTGGGCATGACATGATTTCTCTCAGTATCCTCCTATTTCATTCACAGCACATGCAATCGAACCCTTTGAATCGCAACCGACATCAAGACCCTTGTCCTTAACGGCTCTGGACAACATCCGGAAAATCTCAGCATGTCGGCTGCTGCAGCTGTTGCTCCTTCATCGGCGGTCTGGATGCTTGCCGCTATTGGAAACTTGGTATCCCTGGCGTGACCACCTTACCACATTGGGAAGTACTTTAATGACTTTGCCCCCCGGCTTCTCAATAGTCCCAATGACGAGCTTCAATTGAAAACCTTCCCTGCAAGCACTTGGGAGTTTTGCCATGACTCTTGCAAGTTTCTTGGAAATATTGATCAAGCGGCGTTCTCGGCATTGACCAACCTTCGAACCAAATTATCCGCGATAGTAGACTACAATTAGGAGTCGCCATCTCAGCGCCTATAGCGTCTCATCAAACTGTTATTACATTGGCTAATGTGTGTGTGTGTGTGTGTGTGTGTAGGTGGCTGGAAATTAGAGTGAATCATTACCCGTAGATGGCGCCCGCTATGGCTGCGTTGCTACAGCTGAATGTTGGGCAGCAGAGACAACAAACAGGCGCCATCATGCAAATTATTCACTTGCTCAATTACACGTCACGAATGGATCACCAACCGTGGCATGTTCCTGCAAGGCAATACCAGTATTGAATGTGATGGCATGACTTACACGCAGGAAGGCAAAAGAACGACTTGGGATACATTCTCCGAACCTTGGCGGGCTGCTTAACATTGATGGCTACGTAAGTCAACAAAATACGCAATAGCGTACGTACCATGCATTCTTTCCACCAAACTCAACTAACGCTGTATGTAAGTGCACTGGGGATAGCGTCTCTCCAGCCTTCTGCAATGGTAATACAGACCGATATGGTTCGTCGATCATGGCAGCGGTTTCTAGGCGGACATGTTTATTGTTGACGTTGCTTTTGTGGCTTGAACTCGATGGACGGTCGCAAAAGCTTCATGCTAAGCTCATTGAGATCGATACAGACACATCCCCTCACGGCTTGGGGAAGGCTAGGGAGCACAAGAGTGAGCGACAGCATGAATGGTGCATGAATACTGCACCTCAACCAGTCGTAGATGGCCTCCGCCACACCACGGCTCAACAGATGGCCATCAGCGGCTATTGTTTTGCAACCGTTAGTCTTACCGAGCATCGCCGTAATGTGACCCATGAGTGTCTCTTCCACGACGATCCAGAGGGTCTGGGCACACACAGCCTTGTAGGCTGAAGCAAGACTTTGCTCTGTTTGCTGTCTCGCCTTCCCCCGTACTATCGACACTCAGAAACACTGGCCCAGTTACCTGCGGTGCAAGTCAAATCTGTCAAGACATGGGGACATTGCATGATAACTCAGAAGCTCTTCAAGGATCAGAGGCACTTCGTGGCCAATGAGCCATGAATTGCAACTGCAGGCATTATCACAGATAATAGCCTACGAGGTAATCAGGCTGGGGTCCCCAACTTTTGGCCTTGCTTGGGCCAGTCCGGATTTCGCATCAACCAACAGCGCGCTCCCCTTCTTCACACAATCTCCCTCAACCCCACAAACAAAATGCAAACGTGCATTGCCGCTTGATGGAATGGAACGACGGGGCCACCCTCTCCGAACTAGACCGAATCGAGAAGTCGGATAGCCACAGCCTGTGCTAACAGCCTTGGTTGGTTGAGGATGCTTATTCTCGCCAAGCTCTCACGATATTTATTATTCATGCAATATCTTTACCATCCCTTATCTCCTATATCAATCTCACGGACTCATCGAGGCCCGTATTTTCCGGCTGGGCACTCGGTTGAGAATATCATATCAAACATGCTAAAAATGTCATCACCTTGGAGAGTTCCATCGGTTCGGATCCTGACTCCTCACTCAGGGTAGGACTCAAACCTTACGGAGATGGGTAGCTGTTTTTAGTGCGAGGTGCGTTGAAGCTTTCCACGACCCTGGTTCGGTACTGTACTCAAGATCGAAGGAAATGCCTCATTGATGTGGAACGTCGTGAGTGCCGATCCAAGTCCTTTGATTTCACTTTGCCAGCGTTTGTGATAGGCTATAGGCGTCAAATCGAGGTAGCAAACAGGCAAAAGGTTGTATGTAAACGGTCTTGTGCTATGATCCTCCAGCCTCCTGGGTCGAAACAGATCCTTCGCCCCGCGTCTCACTTTCAAACAACCTGGTGTTTTGACACCATCATCCTGCTCTCAGACCGCTTGCAACACCTTCGGCAGTACGGGTGAGCCACCCTGCCACCCTGCCACCCTGCCACCCAAGGATGTATAAACTTTTCCAATACGACTGTGCCTCACAAAGACTTAGCCAGACAATCCTCAACTTCGTCGTCGTCGTCATGCGCCCGATGAACGACGACGTTGGTCCGCCTGAAGCTTGAACAAGCCAAAGGGGCTGGTAAACCGTAATTGCAAACCTACAGGATTTAAGGTTAAGATCTGGTCCGAAATGAGAATAGGCCTGCCGACTATGGGCTTATCGGCTCCATCAGCCCCATTTACAAGGAAACACCACTAATATACAAAGACTGGTTCTGTCTAATAATCGACAGTGCCAGGTTAGATGATGTGGCGTGTCCCAACATGAGTCGACGACCTTGTCCGGCACATTTCCCTGAGACCCTTCATTTGTCGAGAAATTGTCATTTGTCCTTTTCAATTAAAAATGTGCTGTACCTATGTATAGGTATCAAGCTAATGCTGTTTTGCCAAGTACGTACATACTCAAAGTGTACCCTATCCTCCATACCCTCCCAGCAAGCGTTCGGTGTGACGCTTGACGCAGGCTCCCATGTCTACCAATTCGGAGACGTTGCTTCTCTTCTTCCATACCATAGGATAAACATTCCAATCCTTAAGCCTCATGACATGTCTGCCCATGCGTTGTCCATCTTATGCACCTCGAAAGGCCGTGACAAGTTAAAACACCGAGACAATCTGCCACAGAACCATACAACATCCAAACAAGCTCCCAATTTAATGTTCGAGCAGGCGCAAGCTACCCTGGACAACCACGTTCTCGAGGATCGATCCAGGGGGGATGTCGATGGTGCTGCCCTCTGTCGCGACGATGATAACAGTGCCCTTGAGCGTTACGCCGCGGCCAAGATTGACAGCACCGGTGATGGTGAGGTGATCCAGCTCAAGCACCTTAGGAATGGAGGGGATTCGCTTCTGGAAGTCTGAGACCTTCTTGAAGTCACCACCAAGCTTGATCAGGGGCGCGTCACCGAAGCGGGCGGCGCTCATTTGAAGCTGGCCGTGCTTCAATGTGTAGAGATCAGACTTGACCAGCATCAGGTCGGAACAGGTCTTGACGGGCAAGAATCGTCGACGGGGAACGTTGACGCCGTGAGCGTTGTTGAAGTGGCGGATAGCAGCACCGACAGCGGTCTCGAGCTGAATGATGGAGATATCGGACTCGCCCTTCTTGTCACCAGGGATGGTCTTGCCATTGGGGATAATCTCCATCTCGAGTTCGTCGTTCTCTACCACACGCTTGATGGCCTTTAGGTTGAGCCAGATGTTGTTGGTGTTGAAGTACTTGAACTTCTTGATAGACTTGAACTCATTGACATGTTCCTTGGGTACCTGGGCAATTTCGAGCAGGCGGACTGAGCCCTCGTAGTCGATGATGGTACCACCCTTGACGTCGGCCTTGGTCTTGTTGGTCAGCTCCATGATGTACTCAGCGTTTGTCTCCATCATGTGCTGGAGGATGCGAAGGTCGACCACGGCGCCCAGGTTGTCGACGTTGGAAAGGAAGATGATCTCGATACCTCGCTCGAGAAGCTTGTCGAGAATGCCAGAGTTGTAGAGGGACTCGAAAACGTCACCGTGGCCAGGGGGGTACCACTCGTTGATGGGGGAGTCGTTGTCCTTGGGGACGGGGAGGAGAGAGTCCTTGTATACTCTGGGGTATCGAGACTGGTTGAAGGTAAGGATATCGACGTTGTGGCCCTCATACTTCTTGATAATGGCGGCAGTGTCGTCATTTGTGTTGAAGGAGTTCATAAGAATGAAAGGGACGTTGACGTCGTAGGTACGGTTCAGGTACTCGATCTGTCGGACGGAAAGATCGAGGAAGGACATGCCGTCACGGACCTCGATAACGGACTTGGGGCCGACACAACCCATGGAGGTTCCCAGACCACCGTTGAGCTTGAGCACAGCCAGCTTGTTGAGGAACTGGACAGACTCGGTGTTGGCAAGATCCTCGTAATCGACAACCTGACCCTGAGCGGGAGGGGCAATGCGATCCCAGTCTCTAAACTATGGTCAGCAACTGTCGTATTGTGGCATATATCTGGTCGGGAGGGAGGCATACACGGCGTTGCCCTTGGCCTTGTCGTTAAGGTATCGTCGGAAAAGGGCGAAGAAGTTGTCCATCTCAGTCTCGAACAGCTGCCGTCTGGTTAGTCTTGACTGATTCGGGAATCACACGTTTCGGGTTGAAGGACTTGCCTTCTTTTGTTCGGGATCCTTGACGGTCTCGGCGAGGTTGGTCAGAGCATTTCGCATCTGAGCAGCAGCGACGTTGGTGGAGGTGTTCTCGAAAGCCTGGAGCATGATGGGTTAGTATTGTTTCTGGTAAAGAATATGATACAGGCTGTTTTTGAAGATGAGAGAAGGACGAAGCTTTGCACCCTCATCGAGGGACTTTAAAGCCATGAAGCTTCGAGTGCATGCGCGAGCGGTAATCAAGTCCATCTGACAGATGTGAAGAGATGTGGAACAGCGAGCCTGTTTGCAGCCATGTCAAGTGCCTGGACATCCATATGACTGATAATGAGCGTCACAATTGAGCTTGAGATACAGTGAAGCTTCGCCGTGGGCGAACAAAGGTACGCAATCGCATATGTTTTGTATATTGTGGCATGTAATGATGGGGAGGTAAAGCAGTATCTTTCCTGATTCACATCAACTCACCATGTGACTGCGCGTCTTACCATGACGACGCTCATTGCCCTGCTCATCGCCGCTGTTGGGCTTGAGGTGGGTAGGCAGCGCACTCTTGATAGCACTGGCCATTGTGAAGGGAGCCAGTCGGTCGAATCGTGGAGGATATTAATGAGGTGGAATTAGAGTAGCACGATGGGAGCCAACGGGAGTAGCAGATAGCCTTTTGGGTGGGTGAAGAAAGAGGAGAAGGATCAAGAAGTTGTTAATGGAGAGAAAAAGAGAGAGAGAGGAGAGGAGAGGAATGAATCAAGGTAACCAGGTCAAGCAGGTCAAGCAGCTAATAAACGAACGGGAGCGAGAGGGAAAGGGGAGGCCAGCGCCAGCACCAGTACCAGCACCAGCGCGCCAGAGTTAGATGCGGGGCGGTGATGCCGGGCTTGCAGCTGTTGCTTGTGGACTTGGTGGGGGTGGCGAGGGAGCTTTTTCTTAGGCGGACAAAAGAAGCCCAACAACGACAGCAGTTTAGAACTATTGACGCTTTTTCTACAATCTAAGTTGTAACAGTGACGTCGAGTCGTTTTTTTTGTTTTGTTTTTTTTCTTTTCTTCCCCTTCTCTTTCTGTGTTGCACTCTCTCAACTGATTCTGCTTCTTGTCCTTTTCCAGCAATTGCCTCTCTTTTTGTTGGTGCCGATTTAGTAAAGGTTGGGTAACATAGGAGGCGAGATTCGTAGACTTGCGGTGACAACCCAGCTCGCAATGGTCGAGCAGACCGTCTACTAACTCGGTGATACTGGAGATACAGTACTGCACTGCACCTAGGTACCTGGTCTAGGCCATCTCAGCTCCCATGTGTTTTGTTTTGTGTTTTTTTTTTTCTTCCCTGGCCGTTGGGGAATGGAGGCTTGTTCCCCATGCTCTGGTACCTGTCCCTGTTCATCTTTCCCGACCAGTTATGATTGATGGCTTGCGGTAAAGGTGAGATGAGGCTCAATAGTGCCTTCGTCTCCCCTATTGTTGTTTATTATCACATCTCGTATCATCGAGTTGTCGTAATTGTTCATTTCTGCTCACCTTCACGATCCCCATACCACCGGGATTAAACCCCACCACTTCACCAGTTGCACCAGCGATCTCTCTCACCTTGTAGGCTTGCGGCGGGCCAACCAGCCAGGATCCCCGGTATCTTGTTTCCATTTACCGCTGTGGTATTATTAGCACTCGAGGTGCGAGGATGGTGAGACTGGTCTTCTTGCTAGGGGAGCCTCTATCCGTGATGAAAAAAAAATATTCAGGTAGCTCTAGCCTAAACTTAGGCGACTCTTTGCTGAGTTTATTTAAGCATCCTCCTCTAAAGTCTTAAGTTTCTTGCTCCCTGAGGGCTGGATGTTCGAGATCGGTCCTTTGCAGATATAATGTTGCAGTCAGTTGAGTCCGAGAATGAGAGAGAATAAGAACAAGGGAGACAGACAACCTTGATTAAGATTGGGTGGTATCATGGTCGATTTTTCTTGGTGTGCCGCCACCATCATGATATCCCTCATCAATATGCTACTATTTGCCCCCCCGAGTGCAAAGAAACCGCTCATTACGCCTTGTTCTGAGTGAATTTCTGCTTCTTTTGGGGCACCCATTCGCCATGGTTCAACAAGGTGATTGATTCATTTTGCTTATGCCCCAGGGTCCAAAGCTCCTTTTACCGGTGAACCAGAGTTGAAGACGAGGAACGGGGCCAAAGCTCCCAAAGCTCACGCCCAGACACAGCAAGTATCTCGGCTCTGTAATTGGCTCTTTTGTTGGACCCTCACAGGCTTGGGCCCAGTCGAAATGAGCACAAGTGGATGCAACGAGGTTGATCATGGCTAGTCTTGACGCTATCTCTACATCGGTCGATCTCCCTGCAAGATGCCTATTCTTGCTTACAAGGTTGAAGAGAACAGAGTACATAAGCGTTGTGATTATTATGTATCAGAAGGCCGGGAGTATGTAATATCGTAGGCATAGGTAACCATTGAAGATCTGGAACACTCGCAGCCCAGCTCACATTACGCCTCTCCCGTTCCGTTCCGTGGCCAATCATTCAGTGAATGGAGACCAAAAGATGGCTGATTTAGAGACGCCTGTCAAATGCAAGCTTCGACCTGCCGTATTACGTCGGGCTTATATCTCTCCACGTGGCCTTGGCATTGGATAAGAGGCTGGACGAGAAGCTACCCAGTAATTTTCATCTTGCTACCCTAGATTCATCACCATTTTACGGATACCTGGCACAGAAACAAGCTACCTACTAAGTAAGGCAAGGAGTTTAGCACTGAAGGGTATCAGCTTCACGTCACTTGTTTCTCTGAGCTTCTTGACAGCTCCTCCACAGCCACGGAAGCTAGACGACAATCATATGCATTGCAGTGGCTCACCGGACCTCTCACTCCTTCATCTGCCGTTGTAGTGGAGTTTGTCCCATTTGGACATGTCTTCTGAAGTACGGAGTGACACTTGAGAAACTTGGCCTGGATCTACCACAAAAACAACACTTGTTTATCATAAATAAACCAATAACGATGCCTGATTCATAGTTTGTATGAATTAAAACAATATGGGTGACCAGCAGACTAGACATATTGTAACTAGCCATGGTTTTCGTGCCTCTCTGCATTATCACCCTCCTATCTGTGGCGCGTCCCTCTGTGGAGACACAACCATACCATTCAACCCTTCATGGAACTTCTACCTCACAAGAACACGCCGCATGACCAGATATTAGGCAAAGAGGCAATCAACTTCAAGTAGCGCTGAAACTGGTTCCTTTACAGGCAACATCCGGTCTGGGAATTGCACCTCGATCTCTCCATATAATCACCAATAATACGAAGAGTCCGTCTCACCGTAACTTCATCTCACTCAACATTAGGAACCATGGGGAGCACAGAAACTGTTCCTTTCTGGAACATGAACATCCCCGAGGACCAGAGAACCGAAGAGTGCCCTGACTTTCTTCAAGGCCTTCACAAGAAAGATCAAGGCATTCTCTCCACCCCAGACCAAGAGTACCACATCTTCTCCTGGGCTGAGGTCCGCGACATCATCCAAACAAACCGCTTGGAGAAGTTCAAGCGTGTTCCCTCAGAGCTTAGACGCTACAAAGCCTTCGCATTCTCTCTGAAGCAGAAGTACGGCAGTGTCGCCAACTTTATCCATGAACATCGTCTTGGATGGAGTACTCCAGTGACGCCGCGTGGAGCACCTTTTGAATTCGAGGACGATTATAAGATCCTATGGAATGATGCCCCCTACGGAATAGATCCGAGAATAGCGCACCTTGTCGTGTGGACAAAGTTCGGCCTCGTAGAAGATCCCGCCACGGGAGATTTGACGGACAAAGCAAGGAAAGAGATTGATGATTTCGTGACAAAGACCTTTCGAGCGCATATCCCAGAGGAGAATGTGAGTCTTTCCTGTCACTACATATACGTGATTCATCTGTGAGACTCATGTGCATAGGTTCTTTGGTTTAGGAACTGGCGTTCTTTGCAATCAGTCAATACTGTGCAGCACTTTCACGTCATGCTCTTCAACCCGGATCCCGACTTTGTACGGAAGGTCACCAAGGGAGACGTTCCACGGGCAGGAATAGAGGTTCACAAGTGAGTGTTGAGAGGCACTAAACTGGTATCACTTGCGGCGATGCGTCTCCGTTGGAAGATGCTGAAGATGCTGAATCATCCGTGTTGATAACGTCATATACGTTGATCGATACGACCTACTGCCTCATTTCCAGCATATGCAGACTGTCGAAAGCGAAATCGAGTAGTTGAAGAGGGAATAATACATCCAAGAAGCCTTATAGGCACATGCGACCAACTTTTTGCTCCCTGTATCAAACTTCTACCTAAGCCCAAGTGCACTACGATTTCCTGTCACTCGAGTGCGCAATCTGGTTTCTAGTATCATCAAACCTAACGTCTTTCGTCTTGGAGACCTCGATCTTGACATCTTCGGTTCTGACCGTGAGCTCTACACAGGCAGCCTCGGCCAGAGGCACTGCTGTTGGCTTCTCGAGTCCAATGCGAATGATTTGTCCATAGAAATCGTCACGCTTGGTCCTGAGTTCCCGGGCAATATGGAAAGCCAGACTTGCCGCCAAAGCCTCGAGAGTTTCGAATGACGATTCTGACATGGCCTTTGTGACGATTAGCATGTTTGTCCACCAGCCCTTTCGTAATCTACTTACATCAACAATGATACTCTCAATGACAGCATAGTCATCGTGTGCGGTTTGGTATTCGTCGATGCGGATGTTTGTGATGACGACTTGCTTAGCGTTTCGCTCATTACTGTTGACACCGATGAGTGTCGGCACTCTGATCCCTTCCAGACCCAGCTCCAGACTGCGCGAGGTGATGGCTGAGTCGGCGAAGAGACACGATCCCGAGAGTCGGATTGCAGTTCCCATCAACGAGGCCTTGGGCAGAACGAGAGAGACCGAGAGCCTTCGGATAAGGCTCGTGTCGAGGAAAGCCTTTGTGTTTTGGGCGGAAGGCTCCTTCACGCCAGTGTACTGGAAACCAGTAAGGTCAACCCAGAGCCTGTTGAGCACATCGCTCAACGACAGGGCTGACCTGGGCAACTTGTCCAGCGTGCTGAGGATAGATTTGCTGAGGAGCCCATAGTGAACGGTATCGGAAGCAACCTTGTCGTCTGACGACGATGAGGGGAACGCATGCGTCAGTGACACCTCGGCGGATATCAGAAGAGGTTGCTGCTTAGAACCTCGACCCCAGGCATCTTTGGGTCCTTGGATAGTCGTTTGGAGATTTCGGACGCGGACAACAGCGACAGGATCGCCTTCGGCGTTGGCGAGACGTCGAGATGACACAAGGGGAGTGTCTTTACCCATGGCTGACGTTGAGTGATATGATTCGTGTGACTCAATCGGGTTGAGGCAATTCACTGCCTATGCTGAATCCAATACGAGACTGTACTATGTATAGTAGCTATATCTGGCGTAGTACAGCTGCACAGTGGATTGAACGTGGTTCTAGAGTTTGCTTGTTGTACACTGTTGTTGGTCACAAGTTATGTCATTTGTGTGACTCTGTGAAGCTAGAATGACAAACAACACTGGCGGGGCAGACCAACAGCCAAAAAAAAACAGTGTTCACCTCAGCCCAATACTTGGCAACACAAGAAGCTGCTCTTGTGAGATTTGATATAAATCCGAATATATGCAATATTAGAACTCAATTAATCCACCCTTCTTACCATCACTGGTTATCTGCCAAGTCCATAACCCATTATGTGTGAGTGACTTCTGATCCTGAGTCAGCAACATATATTTTCATCTTCTGGTGACACGAGTTATAGATTCAGGGCTTCGTATTACTTGAATAACTACAGGTAAATAATTTAAATCTCGACATACCTTAACTTTGTTGAAGAAGAAGCATAACGGCAAAACTCATAACTCCTCTCGACACCACTGTCAGATACATCCAGTCACGTGTTCTTCCATGACAGTTTCAAACGATATATAGATACCCTGTACTCTCCATCTTATGGAAAAGGTATTGTAATCTTGTATCAACTTGGGCATAGCAAGACATCCGTCTCTATAAGACGCTGACGAATATGTTGCTCGGCTCTAGTCGGATCCGTGTCTGAGCTGGGTGTGCTTTTCGTCGTGGTGGTGTCATGGACCACCTCAAAGTCTCACTTTGATGCTGTCCACGATCAGAAACCAAAGAGACAACAGCTCAACATAAGCGCGCCAAGACTCAACAGTTCGCTGAGTATACAGATCACATGTACTCAAGATAGAATTTCAACACTATATACTATGATGCTTTAAAGTTTTGTCGCTGATATATTACCTACACACCATATCACAATCAGCTGTGATCCTTCCCGAACGGCCGTACCTCAGGGCAATAATCCTGTCGCCCATCACAGCGGTTCCAGTGATCGTGTTTCCGCCGCTTGGTCCCCGGGCCAGGGACAAGGGTCTCAAACGTCTTCTCTAGTTCTTGGAATTGGCTCGAGGCTTGGGCGAGCCTTGTTCCTCTTCTGTCCACAAGGATTCGTCTCACGCTCGGTCTAAGTGGTCGTAAGAGGAAGCTCATGTTGGTTTCCCACTTCCTGTAGGCTCCCCAACGAGTGCTTGAGTTGCCTCGCAATGGGGTTCAAAGACTTATTTGTTCGGTTCCAGAATATTGGGCCCTCATTGCCTCTTCGCAAGACCTTCCCGTAAAGGCTGACTGAAGGGTTTTGTGACTGATCATCAGGGTCTCTGGCTTGGCCCACGAGATTATCGTGTTGAACCCGTGCAATACCCACGCATCTGGGTATCGTCCGCTGTGTACGGATCACTCTCGGTTACCCAGCCTGGAGTCGCCAACGTACTGTACGCGATTGAAACATAGACGGCCCTATGGCGGAGCAATGAGGTTGCACTAACAACCCTATGGAAAGATCATGAAACGCAGAAGTTAGGCGACTGCTATCTCAGCCATGGCCCTTACCGTCTTGACGTGCCCAAGAGAAGGAACATCAAAACTAGGCTCACAACCTGACAGGCATCAGCAATCCCGACCAATGTCGAACGTCTAGAATGCGTGGCTAGAAGGTTGTGACATGATTCTCAAACTTCCGACTGGTATCTGGCACATGGTCGCCCTCCCAGTCTCCAGTTCCAGGGTTACATTTGAGCAAAGCAACCACAACGGATCCATAGTGAAGATCATATTGCTGCGGTTATGTGGCCCGACATCCTAATCCCATACTGCAAATATTGGCCGAAGAGTTTCGGTACAGCCCTTTGTAATGATGCTCCGGGCATTTCCAGTACTACCCGGGTTCATCGACGAGGGTCAGAGGCATGATATGATATTCGTTGACCCCAAAACTCATATGCATTGGACTAGGCCAAAGACCGAGCCTGGCTCATTCAATAGGACAGAATCACTCTTCAACGACGTGATGAGAACGCCAGAAATCGAAGAGTTTCTTGTTCGATGTCTGCGCAAAACTAGAAGAAGAATCCTAGACGGTTGATGTTGATGATGCTTCGGAGTTACGGCCAGATGGAGCTAGTCTCCTGCACAGACAGACACAAGGGGTTTCTCATATCCACTGCAACCGGATGCAGGGCTCGGATCATCGACTAACGTAGCCAAGAAGGAAAGTCAACTTTGGGGTGGGTTTGACGACCGTGTCATAGGCTTCGTTGTCAGTATCGGTTTCAACTCTTACCCGTCGTTTCAGCTTTTAATAAAAACCACTAACTCACTGCCCTTTTCCTCTCATGGTCGGAAGCCTTAAATGCCGGGTTCCACAAAGCGTTTTTGACTTTTTCTAATTGTTCTACCAATAACGCCACGCTGCTAGAACGCGGAGGACTTGACAATAAACACTCTAGAAAGGCCTGTTTCGGAGATTGCATTTCAAGCTGACGGCAGCTCGCAGACATGGACATGAACCGTCTCAAATCTTGAGCATCCCGATCTATGCTAGCTTGAGTTGCTGCAGATCTGAATGCCTTACCCTCCTTCACAGGGGAAGTTCAGTTAGTTGCTGTGCCGCAATTCATAAAAGATGAGGGAGTGTGTTACTACATACATCCGACATTTGGCAGCAACTTCAAGCAATATGACCGTCTCGAATCGAAACGGTGTTGCTACGGTGGAAAGCGTCGGATGCAGCATTGCTTATATGCTGGTATTACATCGGAGATAATACACCAACGGAGCTGCCAAGAGACCTTCGTTTGACAGAGAATCCACCCCCGACTGTATGGATGTTACTTATATCTGACCAAGCTTTGAGACCTATACTTATTTTTGGTTCGACTATGTATTACGTTTACCAGTTGCCGAAGTCGGTGTCATGCATATAATTATGTATTGTTAGACCGGGGAAGATTCCCGCGAGCCTCGTAATGGCCAGATCCTTGAATAACATACCGAATTCGAGGCTGCACCCACAAATTTTATAGACTGGAGGAATACATGCAAGGTTCGGAGAGGGAAGCATGGCATAGATGCAGGCGTGAGGCACAACAAAGTCGACAAACCCTCTACTAGACAACGGATCAGATCACTAGTCGTGATAAGACACTCCCAGTCTATAGCATTACCAAAGAGATATATCCGGAGCGCCACGCCTTTGACAGATGCCAAGGGCAGACTTTTATTTAGCCTTGCGACGGAGTAGGTATCCGTAGACGGCTATTTACTTGGACCCTTGCAAGAACTGTCAGATTTTAAATAATTCCGAGCGATTTTATCCTGGAAATTTGACAATCAATGGGAAGTGAGTGAAAATTGCGCCATATATCTGCAATAGGAATCTGAACCGGGGCCAATTCAAGCCTCGAAGAGCCTTCCCCTTTGTCCAGGGATATCTCAATGCAAGTCGTTCCTTTGTTAGCTTAGCTAGTGACTACTGTGTCCAAGAGAACTTCCCATTCAGATGTGGTTTCGCTGCAGTGCAGGATAGTCGGGATCCTTAGGGCTCACATGCTAATTACATACCTTACCTAGTAGTTAGGAATCCCTTCCCCACGGCCATGAGCTAACGAGCTAAATGGACAGGAGGAAGATTGAGTTGTCTGGGGCAAAGATTGCGGGGAAGACAACCATCGATATGGAGAGCCAGTTCCACGTTTACAAGAAACACAAGCCAATGACTCACGTTAGAGTGTCTCTCTCTCTGGTACATGCAACAAGTGGAAGCCCACTAGGACATGTTCAAGCTTGCGATTCTCCTCAAACAATCACGAATCCTTCCGTAGTATCTCATAGGAGAGCAGGTTGAGGATGTCGTTGGCCTGCTAGCCTCCTAGATCGGTGGCTACAAGCTTTCACATGGCGTCGTTGTCAACATTGGACACATCGCACCAACGGACCGAAGAGTGGCTGTAAGAGGAAAGATTCCACGCCATCAGCTTTGCAGGTCCTGCAGACTTCAGCGGAAGTGGCTGATATGCTCAGGGCATGGGATACATCGATATTTCTCATCCGTACCTGCATCCAATGCACCAGCAAGGCACGGCACCACCAGATAGATACAGTCGTCGTGTTGGTCAGACAGGGGAACCCTTCTGCCTCTGTCCAGAGAGTGGCATCTTCCACAAATGGCGCTGACAGTCGTCTATGCGGAGATGCGTTAGATCAGCATACATAGTATCAACCATTGCTTGTGATGTAGAAAAGCATGGTTCGGTGTGATGTGTGTGATAGACGACGTCAGCTCACCACAAGAGGTTACTTGCATTTAGAGTCGACCAAAGGAAATGGCGCTCGAACAGATCTGTCACAAATACCACCTTGAGATTTCTGGGTTAAAGTATTTTTTGTTCAAGAGGTGGTAAGACTTTTAGGCGGTTGAAGTGAAAGGAGTGTTCCGAGATCTATATCGTCGAGTCCATGCCTATAAGAAAGAATTAATAAATACGCATATACCAATTGATTTGCGAAAAATGTCATGCTTCGCCGTAAGGATTAGATACGTTGTAGCTGAGAGCGTCATCTTTCAACAGCGATTGGGCCCAACATATTTTGATGATAGTGGGCTCGTTGGTGAGCGAAAAATTCAAGATGCGAATCAGAAGCTGAGTTGCCATGTTGAGAGACAAGACAAAGTGACGAGGTTCCTGAGTGGCAAAGAGCGCCAAGCCAACCAGAATCCGAAGCCAGCCAGCAACAGGAGGATCAATCAGCATGGGTGTGTTGCATTGGCGGGAGTGACAGGGGAGCCGCTCAGCGGAGCGACAGTGACTGACCAGGGGTAGACAAGGGTGTCAGAAGGGCCGAGAAGCCAGTCAAAGCTGCGAGACAGATGCTCTCAAGTGCCAAGATGGCGATGCCAGTGACTGAAGCATCCAGAGAGACTTTTAGTGGCTAAGCCTGCCGCGCAGGCTTTTGATCCTCTGCTGGTGGCGCGCCATGACATGTCGAATGACAAGCCGAGAAAAGACGTCGATGTGTATTGGAGTATTTACGCGAATGTTGGCCATGCCTTGTCGAACCTCATGATGATATCAATGGACGCTGACTGGGGTAGACACACCAGCGTCAGGTGAGTATGGAGAGAACAGCGAACAATTGGTACTACAAAAGACCCTTAGTATGAAGTTACTAAGATTAAAAACGGTGATAATAATGACTTTGTAAGTGTTGTAACTATTCTGTAGTCAACGTCGTCTTCAACGGTAGCCCGAGACTCCACTGGGTCTGCCTTGTGGCCCCCGGTGGAAGGAAACAATTTGTGGGTGAACCGTATGTGTTACCTAGGTAGGTACAGAGTATGTCTGGGGGAATCTATGTATGTAATAGCAGTCCCACAGATCGATGCCTGTCCATCAAATCCCAATCCCTGCGTAGCTCCCTTCTCCCATCACTTGGGAAAGTCAAATACCCAATTTGATTTGATTCATTCAGGACAACATACATAATGCATCAACAGCCTTTCCTGTAAATCACTATCATTTGCTGGAGGACAATGTCACATCCACCCTTTGGCCGTATGTACATCAGAGATGTCGGCATTGCGCTGATTGGGTGACCACCTGGTGTGTTCCAAGGGCTTGGATGTTGCACTGAGTTCAGTTCAGTTCAGCTCAGTTCAGCTCCACTGTCCAGCGGAGCGAGTCATCTGTGCATTGGGCCAAAGTTTCAAATCAAGCACGGTTGATGAGATGCCCTGATGCCCTGAGAAATGTCTCTAGTAAACAACGGTCTGCGGTGGTGAGCTGCTAATAGAGTGGCTCTGCCCACGGATCATTTTGCTGGAGACTCGGGTTCGTCCTGCGCATCTCTGAAAAACATACGGAGTAGAGGTTAGTGTTTTTGATCATTTGGCGTGTACTGACTCGAATTCACGCAACAAACAAAGATCGCCGGAGCCCTCGACGTCGACCGGCCGCACCCGTAAGTCTACAATACAGGTGCCAAACGTTCTCCGCAGGCCGTTATTTTCTTTGCTTCTTGCTATGGTGTGCAACGACTCTTGGCAAAGCCTTTCCCTTTTTGCATCTTCTTGTCAGCACGCTGTACTGTACCTGTCCACGGGCACTCTGACACTGTTCTTGACCAGCCAATCAAGGTTGAGCGTTGGCAGTCATTAGGTAGAGATGGGAGCGTAAAACATTGACGGTTGGCTTGCTCGGAAGACTCGTCATTTCGCATGCATACGGCTACATCGAGTCAAACATGTTGTTTGGCTAAGATGCTACCAATGGCACCCAACAACCCGAGAGATCCTACTGGTACAGTAGTACTGTAGTAGGACTTGGGTAATACTGGATATCCATGGCTGTTGATACATGCCTGACTGCTGTCGATCTCGGCGAGCTAAGCACACGGACCAGGCCTAACAACGGCCAACCTGACACATACGTACATACTATGTAGTCTATGTAGTCAGGTATGTGCACCACCGGTCTACGGTTAAGATTAAACTGCCACTGCGCCGTTGGCTCTCATCTATTTAGTCGGATCATTCATCGCTCAGAACCCATTCCCAGGCAAGATTTCAGACTGTCCCTGTCGCCTGTCGCGTCAGCCAGATTCATCAGTCAAACAAGACCGGGGAGTGTTGTGACGGCCAAGACATGCATCGATGACCCCTGAGTCCCCGCCCCTCCACCTCCAGGCCTCCGGGGCCAGGCACCGCAGGCAGTATAGTATAGGGCGTCAGGCGTCAGGGTACTGTCCAAGAAGCTGTCCGTTGCTCCACTTGGAAACCTCCGGCTCAGTTTAAACCCTCGCCTCTGGCCCCTGTGGACTTGCAGACTTGGTTCCAAAATATGCCCGTTTTGGTATCTTGGTGAACTTAGCCGACTTAGACTCTGCTGCACCACGCCCAAAAGTCCCTAGGTTCAGGAACCCTCCACCTCTTAGCCTCTCTCTGTCTCTGTCTCTGTCTCTTGTGCCTCACGAAGGCTGCGATGCGCGGGAGTGGGCCATTCCCAAGTTTAGCAACCCCTGTACTCCGTAACCTCACTCGTCCCCCTCGTCGCCCGCCTCTGCTCTGGTGCCCGCTCGTCATCACAGACCACATCCCCCAATGATACTTCGATTTTTGGTGTTCAGCAGTCTACAGCGCCTGTATATTCAACAGTATAGTTACCAGCACTCTCCAATTGGCCCCTTTCCACCACCCTGGTCCTGGTCTGCCATGCCATGACTGATCCAGGATGCTCCGAATGGGTGGAAGAGATGTAGATGCATAGAAAGAAAAGTCTCTAGGTCTCCTACCTAGAGTGCAGCCTTTTGGTTCTCCAGTCTGGCCTGGCAGGGGTGGTGAGAAGCAGCAGACCCTGCTGCCTCCACCCTCGCCTCAAGTCTTGTTCTCGATTCCCCATTGTCAGTGCTTTTTGAGGTCGGTAGTGGTTGTGGCCAAATACTGGTACACTTGCATACATACACACACATGTCCCTCTCCTTCTAACTTATATGACCCGTGTGCCCTCCCTCCTCACGCGAGCGACTCCGTCTTCGCTGGTCGTCTCGTGAGTCTATGTGCCAATCGCACTGTTGGTGTTGTTATGCCAGCTGTCTTAACAACTCTCGTGTAATTACATCGCCATTCTATTGTATCATTCCTTTCTGTGCTACCCTTTGTCCCGCACGCAATACCAGTGCATCCCCCTCGAGGCCATCTCGGTGCTGCCATCCGGTCATACAGCTTCGAACTATTAGCGAAACGTTTGCTATGTTGTAACAACGCTTAATCAATTTGACATCGACCTCGACCTCGCTCTCCTCGGAACCAAACGGAAAAGAGCGACGTTGGATAGTCTCTAATTCATTGTTCTCGATCTGGGAGTATCTATTAACGGCATAATACGACCTGTGAAGGACCGGCACCGCATACCCATACACCAACTTGCAACGGCTTTTTTCTACTCATTTCAACATGGCCAACAACACATCGGGGGTCAACCTTTGCCCTCCGCCGTTTTGGGATGCCGCGTTATTCCCTTCTGAGGGCGGATGTAAGCGACCTGCGAGTTGGAAACACTGAATGAACCCCCCCCTGACAGACGTCTAGTTATCGATGGGCGCCTCTGCCAAACAGTAGCAACTATCCAGTGTTGTCTGCCTTGTCCAATGACCGATTGGGTCTACCCCGATCGCTTCGACACCTTGACGGCGGTTGCGAACTGGGTTTCGCTCTTCAGCCAGATTTGTTGTATCTTCCTTCTTCTATCATGGGCATTCTTGCCTGTAGAAAAGACCAACCGCCATTACCTTAGCATCTGTCTTACAGTCGCTATTTTGCTTATGAATGTAGGTGACGGCAAGATGGGCTTCGCATGTCTAGTCTCTTGAAGTCGCTGACATTTTTGGACTCCAGATGGGTTTCGTGATTCCTCTTGCGGCACAACCAGAGCAATGCTTCAACACGATCACTCCGCATAGCATGCAGACCAGCAAGGTCTGTGGCGCCTCTGGTACCTTTCTCCTTCTTGGTGGTTGGGCAGGCATCATGTGGGTATTTCTCAGGTCGGTATCGCTTCACCTACAGATATGCTGGCAAGTTCTCGTTGGCAAGAACTTCATGATCTTTGCTCAGGCAGCTGGATGGGGCGTCCCTATCCTGGGTATAATTCTGGCTCTCGTCTTCAGCGGCGTCTCGTTCCGTTTTGGTGCTACATGCCATATCAATCATGAGAACAGTCTGGCCGACTTTTGGATCCCGCTTCTCCTATTCGCTGGACTGACCGTTATCATCACTTTTGCCACCTTTGGTTATTGTATCAAGGTCTACTTGGCATCGTTGTCTGACAATGGCGCATCCTCCGAGGGCTCTAGCTTGCCCACTTATACACAAAGCATCAAGACCATGAACCCAAGGCAGGTCTACCGTCGAGTTCGTCGAGTTATTGCACTCCAATGGCGTGGTATTGCCATCGTGCTCATCATCATTGCTGATGTCATCTTTTTCTCTGTCGTTTTTGTCTTCCAAGACAACGTGGTTCAGTCTGTTGCCGACGATCCCACCAAAGCAGGCGCTTTCGTTGAATGTCTCTTCAAAGAAAAGGGTAGAAAGGAACCTTGTCTAGACGAGGCATCCTCTCTGGTCATCAACGAAGCGACTGTCACGGCTGTCCTCCTCCTCTTGGCGGTAAGTGTCCTTTATTGATACTACCATGTTGAAATGCTTGCTGACAACCATAGCTGAATGGTCTCTGGCTGATCCTCTTCCTCGGAAGATGGTCCATGGTTCAAGGCTGGATTGACTTGATCAAGAAGCCATTTACCCGGAACAAGAAGGAGTTTGTGTCGGTCGACGCACGCGTTGACGTAAAGAACCATCCACGTTCGTACGAGATGCTCTCAAGAGATTCGAGCGCGGCAGTAACACCAATTACTCCAGTGAAGCCCCCAGAGAGTGGACGCAGAACTCCTGATTACTTCGGTTCGACTGCACGCTACCATGCGCCAGTGCGTTCGTTTTCGAGCCCCAGGCCTCCGCCTACTGGGCGGGAGACGGGAGATTCATATCCGATGCCGACTTATAGCAAAGAGATGAACCCCCTTGGCATGAACCGAACATGACGAGGGCTGACCGCACATACGAAAGAGTTCAGAGGAGACTACTAATGCATGAATGTACTTACATATAATCTATATACCCCCGGGGAACGGCAAACCGCACGCTAGCTCGGATGATACCCAAAATTATGACGGCCGCAGAGCGATCAAGACCGTCCGCCGCAATTCCTATCCATATCAGGTTTAGGAGATTGACACCAACGGCTGCATTTACTTTGTTAAGCAAACTTGAAATGGAACTGCCCATCGATGCGACAGCGAGGTGTTTTGAGCTTTTGCAGGTCGACGCGGGAAAATAAAGGAGGAACAGCAATTGAGGAAATGTCAATGTGACGAATCCGCCGACCAGACTCACGACGAAAAGCAAAGGAAGAGGGTGGGGGAATGTAATAGTGAGTCTGTGACTCCATATATAGAATGGCATTGTCTCAGACATTTGCCCTTCCGCGGGAATATGCCAGGATGGGCGGAGATAAGACGCCCTATGTTGCGTGCCGGCTGGTTCATGATGCCAGTGTTGCAGATCGAGTGCGACCCCAAGTTTCCAACATTGGCTAGGCTAGGCAAAGAAAGAAAAGCTGGGAATGGCAAAGACAGAAGCTGATCTGAATCATGGAGGAGCCAAGCAGGTCAAGTACCGGAAGCTGCGGATTCAGGAACACCGCAATGGAGTTATGCGGGCACCGAGAACGAATCGTCGTGTTCGAGTTCGGCGATACGGGCTTTTATGGAAGATGCCAAGCACCACCGCCATGCGATCTTCCCTGATCTGGGTTGTTTGACCTGCGCATGATCATGGCATTTCCATAGCGGTACGGCAATGCGGGATACAAGCTGTCAATTACTTATTAATAATGTCAAGCTACAAAGATGAGAAAACCCGCTATGTCCGTCCGTGAATGAATGATGAAAGCGAGCCGATTAGTCAAATAAGTAAGCTTAAGCTCACCAATGACGGAATTGAGGTCTCTGCCCAATGCCGTGTCGCGTGGTGTCATGGCCACTCTCCATCAACCACGCTCTATTAGTCACAACGCCCTGCATACTCTTCCGGATGAGCCGGAAGAGGAGGGCCTGAGTATAACTTGGCGATCGGACTGGTATGGCAAAGAGCTCCATGGGTACTTGAAGGCTCGGGGCAGGATAAATAGCTCCGAGACAGCCCTCTCAGCATGACTTGTTGTCTTTGATCCCGCCTTGTTCCCAAGATCGTCATACATGATTGATATCCTCATAAACACTGCCATTGAAGTTTTGTTTTGAGCCCGTTCATACACAGACACCACAGATCATACCAGCCCGTGGAAAACCCTTAAGACGGCCTACCAACCAGAGACAAAGATTTTTTCGTCTTTATATCGAGCTCAGCATATCGATACCCTCAGTTGAAGCTCACTCTCAAATACATAACCGAATACGATAAGGCTCAGAAACGTGACTTCAGCCTCAAAGTGGAAGAATGTGGTCAGGTCTTCGCGTGCCGCATTTCCTTGGCGGGACACGGCCCCGCTCTCCGACTCCGACTCCGATGGTGGACGACTCCCAACAACGGAACCACTTGCTCGGCGATTGGACGGATATTGAGCAGAATCGTATCATGGAGGAAGAAAATGAGCATCAAAACGAGGATGAAGAATTGGAACAAGACTTGGGACCGACGAAAAAAAGCAGACGGCGTGTTCGATTCGCTGACTCCGAGAAGCCCACAACTCAAAGGCGATCCTGGATCCGGACACGAACACGGAGATTTAGTTGTCTACGCAGTCCAAGTAGCGCAATTCTCCTCGCTGCTTTATTGCTATGTCTTGGAGCCGGATACGCATATCGCTGGAAGGTCGAGACCGCATTGCATCGGAGCTGGATCCCTGATGCTGCCAGCGAACGATTCAGCCAGAACCCGTTGCCCCCGCCTCCAGAGCATCTTCAAATCACCAACTATACACTCCCTCTACGGACGAGAGGACGAGATATTGTAGATGTCAACGGCCGCCGTTTCAAGTTAGCCTCGGTGAACTGGTATGGTGCCAGTGACGAGTTCTTTGTCACCGGAGGTTTGGATATCCAACATCGCGATGATATTGCAAAGACTATCAAGAAGCTCGGCTTCAACAGTGTGAGGCTACCTTATGCTGATGAGTTGGTCATCAAGAATCCAGTTGTCGAAGAAAAACACCTTCGCGCAAATCCCGACCTGGTCGGCCTAAGGGCACTGGACATCTTCCATGCTATTGTTCAGACGCTGACCAAATCGGGCATCGCTGTCATCGTAAACAACCACATAACCAGCGCAACCTGGTGTTGCGGTGCTGATCCCTGTGATGCTGGCTGGTCGAACGATCATTTGGGCCCCATGTGTCGGGTGCGACAGACTGAGGACGAATGGATCCAGCACTGGGAGACTATCATGCTCCCACACATCAACAACCCGCTTGTCATTGGTGTCGATCTCAGGAATGAGATCCGCGGCCTTTGGGGTACCATGCCGTGGTCGAAGTGGGCACCAGCTGCTGAAAGATGCGGCAACCGACTTCTTCAGATGAATAGGGACTGGCTCGTCATAGTCGAGGGCACTGAGTCTTCCAACGATCTGTCCAAGGTGTGCAAACGTCCTATCCTGCTGGACGTTACCCACCGACTAGTATACTCAGCACACGTGTACGCTTGGTCTGGCTGGGGAAGCTGGGAGGGCCGTTTCCTCCAGCGAGACTACGACTCATTCGCGAAGACGATGCACCATAACTGGGGATACATCCTCGATAAACAGATTGCCCCTGTGTGGGTCGGCGAGATCGGGGCGCCTGTGCAGCCGTCTGTTGGTGACGCCAATTACTGGCAGCACCTAGTTCGTTTCCTCCAGGAGAAAGATTCTGATTTTGGATACTGGGCGCTGAATGCCCGGAAGCCCAAGGGGAATGCAACGGAGAGATATGGCCTACTACAAGATGATTGGAAGACTCCAGTGCTTGATTATCGGATGAAGGATATGCTTGAGCTCATGTCGGCTTGAGCACGATGATATACATACCTTATGACTATGGATGAAATGAGAATGTATTGCTGGTTGGGATTTATATGTGGATTTTGGAGGATATACCTTTTGTTAGCGAAATGGAATCTTGTTAGGATTGGACGTTTGTGTGCATATCAATGAGTGACATTTTGTAACAAGCCAATTTCTTGTAAGACCTACGTATATGGCTTCTTCATCACAAAGAGATAGATAACATGGCAAGATAACATGGCAGTTTCAGGGTTGCTATCTAGCGGCACACAATGCATCAGAATCATTTGTTAGAAAGTCCCATGAAAGACATATTATGCCTACTAAATCAGTTTTGTGTATCCCGATTCCAACAATTGACATCATCGTGACAGTTGAACCCACTACTAGCAACAAAGGCAACCTGCATAGTTAGCTCCATGCCAACGACACAATGATCCTAGCGCAATCACTCAGCCTAGGGAATTCTAAAACTAACATACTATCTTGAGAAATATAGGTACGTGGAATCAAGACCCGGGCTGGCCTACTAACATAGTGTTCCGTCTCCTTACTCCATTCCGGCATCTCAGCTTACCTACCTACAGTGGAGGTTTCGCCGGCTCCTTATCGATAACAAGAGACCGACCGACCGACGTGCCGCACCCCGCGACTCTCCATTTGGTCACTTGCATCCTCTTGGAGAAGCAAACCGAAGATCGAGGTTTGAGCTGGAAGTGCTGTGCTGTACTGCGCTGCGCTGTTTCGTGCATCACCACGCAGCTTCCCCCAGTAACAGCACCGTTATTCAGCCTTCTGCATGAGAACGACAGCAATATCACATCATATTGCATCCTCAAGAATCAAGCGAATCAGTCGCCTTACGCACGCAGGGTGTTGCCCAATCCCATCCATCCATCCATCCGCCACCTGGATGCAATTGCTAAGCTGCAACGCCTCGGCAAAGGCCATCTCACCTTACCGCGCATGAGTTGTGTGAGAGCTGATGGAAAGTCAACAACCTTACAAGCGCAACTTCCAGCCAATATGCGTGGGGAAATGCTATGCGCAAACTGCCACTGACCGGGTGAGTATTGTTCGTGTGCGTAGAATATTCTTTTCGCTGATGCTTTGTTCGTCATCCTTCAGTTTGGCGATGGCGCCAGAGCCGCAGTCCGTGATCGCGAGCGGGTAACTTTGGGCATGCACCCCCAGAGCGCCGAGCTACCCTTTACCTGGCCTGGGAACGACTCCGATGACGAGACAAATGCAGGGCCTTCGATATACCGCTTGATCCCATCTATGCAGAAATTTCGGAGCAACCTGACTGCTCTGTCTCAAGTGTACAATGTGCGACCATACCAATTCCCTTTAATTGTCGCAAGGCTGACGACACATTCCAGCTCTACTTCTCTGCTTACCAAGGCCGAATATTCGTCTACAGACCCCGTGCCGCCCCGAGCCAGGCACTTCCGAGCCAGCCTGATCTACAACTGAAGCCTAAAGCAAGTGCTGCCGCCCAGCTAGTCGGCGGACAACTCGACGAGTCTCGGCCACACACAGTCAACCATATGATCACAGGATTCCTCGGCGACGAAGAAATAGTCCTCGCGTGCTACGACGACGGAGATGTGGTGGCATATTACACCAAGGAAATTGAGAAACATGCCAAAGAATGCCGTGCCACAAGCGACAGGTCACACAAATCTGTTCCGAAACAATTCTTCCATGAAAATGTTGGAATATCAGCTTGGGGCTTGGCTGTCCATCGAAAGTCTCGCCTGATCGCCGTCAGCTCAAATAGGCATGAGGTTGTCGTCTTTGCTCTGGCTCTGACACAAGACCCCCCGAGTCGCAGGGCAGGCTTGTCCCGCGGGACACGATCAGATATTCCAACACGAACCCGGAATTGGCGGGTCGTAATACGCATGGCTCCCAGTGCAGACAACATCCCCAACGTTTGTTTTGTAGACGACTGTCGAGGCCACGCGCAGCGAATTTGCGCAATCGACATCAAGGGGAC